AAACGGCAAGAAACATGTCAACTCAGTTAAGCAAGAACATGTAGTTTCTACACAAGATGCTGATGGAAGAGGGAGTGGAAGGCCAGTTCTGTCACTAATCAGCTCTGTGTCCTTGAACAATTCACTCAACCTGAGACTTATTTCCTGTTTAAAAATGGGGGAGGCAGGGGGTTCTAAGCCCCCTCTCTCCAGCTTGTACATGAGGGAACAGGAAGAGAAAGCACACAACTCTTAAGGGGTCAGAAAAACAGGACTTTTAAAATGAGAAAGCCAGGCATGGTGGTGCACCTGTAATTACAGTACTCCAAGAGTTCAAGGCCAGCCAAGGCTATATAATGAGTTCAAGGCAAGCCTGAACTACACAGAGAGACCTTGCTTCAGAAATTAATTAATTAATTAAAAATAAAATGAGAGGAGTAATAATTAACAACAGTTCTTTGTAGTACCTCAATTTAGAAAGTACTTCACAAAAAGGGTTATATGTACTCCTCACTGCAAGACTGAGAGGCAGAAAAAAGTTATCATTTAATACCATTTCTGCTGGGTGTGATGGTGCATGCCTGTGATCCCAGGCTGAGGCAGGAGGATCACTGCCAGTTCGAGGCCAGCCTGGGCCACATACACACTGAGTTCAAGACCACCCTGAACTACATAGTGAGACCCTGTTTCCAAACAAACAAACAGAAAAACATATCACAGGCTGGGGATTTAGCTCAGTAGTGCCACTGCCTGCCTCGAAAGCACAAGGTCCTGAGTTCGATCCCCGGAACCAAAAAAAAAAAAAGAAAGAAAAACATGTCATAAATGGAAGATCTGAAATTCAGGGGGATCCAGCAACTTGCTCAAGGGCACAGTCTTAGCAATAGACCCAAGGTCCTACTTAGATCTAAAAGGAGCACAAAATCCTTTATCCTTCTGTATTGAGATAGTCCTCCTCCCCTTCCTCAGGGTAACTAAAGATGTTCAAGGTATTTCTGAGACTCATTGGGTAATAAGATACAAGAGCTATAATCATGGCCCCAAAAAAACTTTTAGTAAAACTCCTTTAGAATTAAAGGTGCTCATTTACAGGTAAACTAACTCATTAGATGACAGTATTTTCTTACAAAGTTGAATTTGGCTCACCGCAACCTAGTAACTCTACCCTTTCCAGGACCATCTCTTCAACAGCTGCCAGGATGGCTGCAGGTACAATATTCCCAGCCTGTCTGCACACAGGATAACTGAATGACCTTGAATTCTGATGCACCTATTCTACTTCAATTTGCAATGTCCAGGATTCTAAGAGGAGAACAAGAGCAGCAGAAGCAATGGAGAAGAAATTTTGCTTGGTTCTGTTTTTGCATTTATTTAAGCTTAAACACTATAAGTTCATTTCTTACAGGTCTGGAGGCTAGAAGCTGAGCTCAAGGGGGGATGGTCAGGTTTGGTCTTTTCCCAGGTCCTCACAGGGCAGGTTGTTTTCACCTCTAAAAGGACTGTCACCACATCTCTATGGTACCAACAATAAAGCAGCAGGATGTGCCTCATTCTATTCTTTACTCTAAAACGCCACCATCAGCCAGAGCTGACTAATTAACTGCTGTACTAATGGTCTCATTCTATTTTGTTACTTCTTTTCCTTACATATGTTAAACTGAACAAATGAAGTTTTCAGTTAAATTGCAAAAATTATGCTATCCACATGATTCTAGGAATTTTATCCTAACAGGCAAATGTTTTCCCTCAGAGAAATGCAATGGGAAGGGTCTTTGTTTCCCCAGGATCATCTGCATTCCTTTTGCCTCCACCCAGCCAAGGCTCCGGTGGGTTTCCAAGACCCCACAGGACCTCTGCAATGAACAGCAGACTGCCCTCCTTTCTACTGGACAACCCTGCAGGGCTCCTGGCAGGAGAAAGGGTGAAGAATCAAAGGGCAGTTTAAGGGTAAAAGGGGAAATCCCAAAGAGAAGACCAGAGAAAGTGGACCACAGAGCCCAGTCACAGCAGTGGCAACAGTAGGTTTCTGTTTTTCTCCTGTATTACTTCACCCTTCCCTGTGGTTCCTCTTTTAAAGTAGCTGGATAAACAGTGGCCAGATAAGCAGGCGAGAAGTCAGAAGCAGAAACCAAAGCCCAAACTGTATGAGCCACAGTCAACCACAGGCCCACTGATTCCCAGGCCCTGACACACAGAGAACATGCAGTATAGACGAAGTCAGGGAAAAAGAATATTAGATGCTTGGTCAGAAGCAGAACTCAGGTCTTAATGTTCCACAGTATTTCCAACAAGCAAACAAGCTTCTAAGTCCCCTTTCTTCATCCACAGCCAGTGATGAAACCGCACGCACCCACCTGCCTCTGTGAACAGAAGTACACATTAAGGTAGGAATTTTTAAAGTCAGTGTAATATTATGAAGGATAATAAAATTCTTTATTGAAGACCCCCTCTGCAATCACATATAATAACTATATTCTGACATCTTTTAAGAGTTATAATTTTATAAGTGAGCATGATTCAGGTGGTTAAATATAAAATGGCTTTTAGGGCCAGGGATTTAGCTCAGTGGTTCCGCTGCCTGCCTTGCAAGCGCAAGGATCCAAGTTCAATCCCTGGTACCAAAAAAAAAAAATGACTTTTAAGTCATTGCATGAAATAAACATTGTTCAGTGTTTGATAAAAAGCATACATAGCCCAACCAGGGAGGGTAATTATTCATATATAAAACTAATGGTATTCACCCACTATCAACAAAAATGTAAACCAAACTTCAATTCCAGTAGTGTATGAGGTGATGGACATCCTCTCATCCAAAGTCCCACCTGCATTCAGGATAGTGGGAAAAGGATGGGCCCCACCGCTGCTTCACCTGAGCAGCCAAATTTTTGAGAGTGGTAGGCCTTAGCCAAGTCTGAGCTGAAACTTCCTCGAATGTAAATTAGGAACAATACTAACCACTTTACAGGATTAAGATTACTGTGATTGTATCTGTACTGAGCCTAATCTGGTCCCTAGCACCCTATGGTTGCTCAACAGCTGGAGGGAGTGTTGTGATTACTTCTCATACCCCCAAAGCAAGCACTTTTGTTTTTTAAGGGACACATAAATTACAGGTTCAGCTGCCGCCTGCTGCACAAGCGCAAGGACCTGAGTTCAATCCCCAGTACCAAAAGAAAAAAAAAAATTACAGGTTCAAACATGATTACTAAAACTCTTTTGGCGAAGAAGTACAATGAAAAGAATTCCCTGAGACCATTCACAGATCCCAAAATTGTGTCCCTTATTTTATTTATTTTTTGTTTGTTTTTTTTCTTTTTTCTTTTTTTGGTAACCGGGGTTGGAACTCAGGACCTTGCACTTGCCAGACAGGCAAGGTGTCACTGAGCTAAATCCCTGGCATGTGTCCCTTATTTTAAGATAGGCATAAGATCAAATCCAAATAGTGTAAAAATCCATCCTTCCTTTATTTAGTTGCTTATTCAGCAACAATGTGACGTAAACCCCTACTTTTTACTTCAGACCCCTCCACCAACCCACCACCAAGAGGGAGGAGTTGACATTCCCTAACTGCTTCCAGGAAAAGGAGATGGCTCTAAAAGCCAAGGTGCCTGCTGCCCCTTTCATGGGGGAGGACAGGAAAAGAAAGAAGATGGGAAAGAAGAGGTCTGAGCCTACCTACAAAGCTGAGTTACCTGCAGAAAGCAGATCAGGGAAGATTTAGGACACCAGGTTCTCCATGGTTTTCACTTAAGCTCATGCCCCTGCTGCACTGTGCTCAGTGTCCACATGCTCAGCCCTATTCCCCACTCTCGCTTCTTTCCTGCTCTTGAGTTCATGATTACACTGAAATTTGTGATCCACAATGACCTTCTTTTTTAATACAAATGAAAATCTTGTGAAAGACCAAGGCTGAGGCTTAATCAGACCCCTTTTCCTTCTTAGCTTAATTTTAAGCGACTGTTTTTTTCCCCAAGACTACTTAATAAATAGGTGCTTTCATCTCGCAATAAATCTTAAAGATGTAAATCAGACCTCACATTGTTCTTCCCCAAAACTTTCCTCTTCAGAACTGTCCTTGTAGCCTCTGCTCAACCTTTTGGGCAGCCTGAGTCGCACACTGACTGTCAAGGCAGTTACACACACACACTCGTAGCTTCGGGAAAGAGCCAGGCTATGTACAAGTATGTGCGTGTAATAACTTTCCACGAGACAACATCTCAAAACTCACAACATCAGAGACTGATGGAGAGGCTGGAGTGGGGTGGCCCCGGAGCAGGATACAAAGAGAAGATTTAGTTCTGGGAGGTAAGATACCGAAGAGCTGCAGGAGTAGGAGCACTTTGCTGTTTACCTTGCGGAGAGAAAGGAGGGCCTGACTGGTCAAACGCTGCCCACTGTGGGGTGGGGGCTGCAACAGCAAAGAGAAACCAAGACTCCACCAAAGTGAAACTGGGCGAATGCCTTCCTGCCCCAGTTCCGTGCTGCAGTTTTCCAAGAAGCTACAAAACAGCTTTTTGAACAGAGGGATCACATTAACGAAGCGAAGAGAAGTAACCTGTGCTAAAAATGCAATCTGCCTCCACCCAGACGTGCAAATGGAAACATCTCTTTCCCCGCTGTGCAGCGGCTTGCAAAACAGTAGGGACTGGGAGCGTGACCGAGCTGTAAAGGGTGCAGCCAAGCTCTTCCTGGATGCCGGAATCTTTGCCTCAGATGTGCTCAGGATGCCCCGGAGTTCCGGCCACCGATTCTCAACTGAACGCGCAGCGTCCGACGCTCGATCAGAGTGGAGCGAGCCACAGCTTGGCAGACCCCGGAAGAAAGGGGCTAGGCCTCGGTGGTACCCTAATCCCCCCAAGGTGGGGCTGACACCCCAGCGAGGTGTAGAGTGCGACTGACAGTGCACAGAGCGGCGCCAGAGGTCAGCCCCGCGATCCGCGCAGGGCAGCGCGCGTGGACAACTCCTGACCGGTCCCCGCGTCCTTCCCACTACTCCCCTCCCGCCCTCTCCCCCGACTCACCTTCGTGCGCCCGTTGATCTTGTAGCTGCCCAGCTTCCCATTGCAGTGACGGATGAGGTCGTCCATGCTGCTCATAAGCAGCCCGATGGTTTCGCAGCCAGGCTCCTTGCCCTCCACCCAGGTGATCTGGTCGCCCCGGATGTCCTTGGACGAGTCGCTCTTCTGGCTGACCAGCTGCCCGTCCGTGAACTTGCCGGTGTCGTGCAGCGCGCGCACCTCGTCGCCGATCTGCTGCCCGGTCTCGCGGCCCAGGAAGTCATCTACCACGCAGATGCCGTGCTTGTTCATGCACGGCACGATGTACTCGAGCGCCAGCTTCAGCGCGGGCAGCGGCTTCGTCTGCCCGTTGGGCCGCGGTCCCCCGGTGCCGCCGCCAGGTTTCAGTGCCTCCCCGGGGCTCAGCAGGGTGCGCTCGGGGCGCGGCGAACGCCGGGCCGGGGACGCCTCGGGGTCGCGGCGGCCTCCGCTGGGACCCCCAGCGGCGTCCCCGGGGGCGGGCGCGGACGCGGGATCGGCGCCGTCCCCGCGCGGCCCCACCGTTGTCCGGGCCGCTCCCCCAGCCCCGGGAGCCCCTTTGGGCCCGGCCTCGCCGCTCTGGCATACAAGCTTGTGCTTCTTCCAGTCCCGACGCTGGTGCTCCTTGGAGCAGTAGAAAGAGCTCCGGCAGCGACCGCAGCGCAGCAGGTTCTCCATCTTCCCGCACAGCTCGCAGTACTGGCGCTCGCGCTCGCTGGCGCTCGGCCCGCTGAGCCCGCCGCTGTCACTCGCCATGGCGGAGCAGGCCGGGCGGCCGGCCCGGGGCGGCAGAGGGGCCGTCAGAACGTCATGCCGGACCGCGCGCTCCGGAGACCCTCAGCGCCGCATCGCGGCCCGCGGGACCCGGCTGGCCGCCGCCCGGGCT